TATATATATATATATATATGTACATATATATATATATATGGCTCTATATATATATAGCAGTCCCTCTGCATTTCAAAGGCAATCCTTTAAAATAAAAATAAAAATAAACATAAAATAAAATAAAATAAAATATAAAAATAATTAAAAAAGTTAAAGGGTTGCTGCTGCCTTCATTTTGCAGTGTACGTACACCTGAGAAGATTAATTGCTGCTGTTATAATCTCTCTGTAATAATTATATTAACTAAATATAATATTTATATTATATATTAATATTAATATTAATATTATAATTAATATTACATTTAAAAATAATAAACAACGAAGACAACAGCTGCTGCTGCTGCTGCTGCTGCTGCTGCAGCCCCCAAGCCACCGCTGGGGCTGTCGTTAGTATAGAGAGAGTAAGAAGTAAATAAATAAATAAATAAATAAATATATTAACAGATTAAATGCATTCAAAGGTGCATATACACCCCGTGTACAGCAAAACACCGCCAGCAATCCTCATAACTGCAGCAGAAGCAACAGCAGCAACAGCAGCAACCGAAGCAACAGCAGCAGCAGCAGCAACAGCAGAATCAGCAGTGCTGTAGTAGGTTGAGGCGTCAACAAGCAGCAACAGCGGCAGCTTCAGTCTACCTGCTCTACTGTGCCGCGCGCTTCAGTCGTCTTTGCTGCTGCTTCTGCTGCTGCTGTTGCTGCTGTTGTTGCTGCTGCTGCTGCAGTTGTAGCTTCATGCAGCTGGCAGCAGCTGTGCTGCAGCTGCTGTTGTTGCTGCTGCTGCAGTTATTTGGGTCCCCCAGCACAGCAGAAGCGGCCCGCGTGCAGCGCTCCTTATCGCCCCTGCTGCAGCAGCAGCAGCAGCAGCAGCAGCAACAGCAGAAGCAGCAGCGAGTTAGGTATATTGGCTGCAGCTGTTTCTTGCTACAGTCTCCTTCATTTGCTGCAGCATCTGTATCACCGCTGCTGCACGGCATCTCCTCTTCTGCTGCTGCTGCATCAACAGCAGCAGCACCAACATCAGCATCAGCAGCAGCAGCAGCAGCAGCTGCTGCTGCTGCTGCAGGGCTTCACTTATCTAGGGGCCCCCCAGGGGCCCCCCTCAGCTCTTTATTTGCTGTCCCTAAGAAGCGTACATCTCATTCAAAAACGCGCAGCCGCCGCGCAAATTGGAACCGCAGAACCCCAAAAAACCACTTCAAGGTATCTTGGGTTTAGGGTTTAGGGTTTAGGGTTTAGGGTTTAGGGTTTAGGGTTTTGTGTTCTAAGTTTAGGGATTGGTGCTTGGGTTTAATTTTTATTGTTCAGGGGATAAAGCTTGAAGGTTTAGAGTTGGTTGTTTAGGGTTTAGGGTTTAGGGTTTAGGGTTTGTTTATGTGCTGCAGTTTTCTTCAATCGATGTTATAGGCCCCTTTCTGAGGGGGGGTGGGGCCCTCACTGCTACGCGAGCTGCATGCGCTCCTTGGTTAGGGCTTCCGGGGTTTGGGGTGTCTCCGCAGCTTCTTAGTAGAGCGAGTAAAGCAGCAGCAGCAGCAGACGAGCACCAGGACGCTGCAGCAGCTACAGCAGAAGCAGCAGCAGCAGCAGCAGGTGAGCAGCAGCAGGGCCCCCTAACGCCGCTACAGGGGGGCCCCACTAAAGGCCCCTTCCTTAGATATAAACGCGATCCTGAAGAAGAGGGGCCCTCATAGACAGACTATGCGTCAACAGCAGCAGCAGCAGCAGCAACAACAACAACAGCGACAGCAGCAGCAGCAGCAGGGTTTGCTTCGTTTCTCAAGCACAACCGCGCAGGCAGATCCACAGGGGGGCCCCCCTGGGGGCCCCCCGGGAGGCCTTTCTAGGGGCCCCTCTGGGGGCCCCCTTGGAGGCCCTTCTAGATCTCTTTCTAAGGGCCCCTCTGGGGGCCCCTCTGGAGGGGGCCCCCTTGGGGGCCCCTCTGGGATCGTTTCGAAGGGCCCCACTGGGGGCCTCCCTGGGGGCCCTTCTAGAAGCCTTTCTCAGGGCCCCCTTGGGGGCCCCCCTGGGGCCCTCACTGGGGGCCTTTCTAGGGGCCCCACTGGGGGCCCCTCTGGGGGCCCCTCTAAGGGCTCCACTGGGGGCCCCACTGGGGGCCCCTCTGGGGGCCCCTCTAAGGGCCCCTCTGGGGGCCCCTCAAAGGGCCCCTCGGGGGGCCCCAGTGGGGGCCCCTCTGGGGGTGGTAGTGAGGCTGTGTGTGTTGGGGGTGCGGGTTTGTGCGGTGAAGAGCGGCGGCGTTTGCTGAGCAGTGTATCTACTTTAATATTGTCGGAGATGCCGCCTTGCTGTTCGTTAGCAGAGCTAAAAGATATTTTCTGTGCATTTGGAGGCTTAGAAGGAGGGGGCCTGTCATTTCCTGCTGCAGCAAGAAGCAAAGGAGGGGGCCCCCGTGCTGCAGCAGCAGCGGGGCACCAAGCAGATAAAAGAATTATTATACGCATGCAAAGGCTTGCAGATGCTGCTGCAGCGCAGCAGCTGCTGCATGGGAGAACATTAAGTGATGCTCGCTTCATTATTCGGGTGTATAGGCAGCTACTTGCCGCTAAAAGAAATACTAAAACAAGGCCCTCTGTTGCTGCTGTTGTTGCTGCTGCTGCTGCTGAAGCTGCAAATACAGCTACTGCTGCTGCTGCTGCTGGCAATCATGCAGAAGCAGCAGCTGCTGCTGCACTTGCATCGCGCATACTCGGCAACAAACAAAGCAGTCCAGCAACAGCAACAGCAGCAGCAGCAGCAGCAGCTGCTGCTGCTGCTGCTGCTGCGATAGGTGCTGCTACACCTGCTGCAGCAGATGGCACGCCGCAGTTTCAGCTGTCCATACACCACAGCAGAGAAGACCGAATTAAAGTTGCTGCTCTTAAAGGACATGAGAGGGCTCTCTTGTTGCTGCGACAGCAGCAGCAGCAGCAACAGCAACAGCAACAGCAACAGCAGCAGCAGCAGCAGCGTGAGGAGGATGCTGACATGTCTTTCAGTGCAAATCCTTTGTTCGAAGAAGAAGAAAAGAGCGAGCAGCAGCAGCAGCAGCAGCAGCAGCCTGCAGCGTTGGCCGACGGGGAGTCTGCAGCAGCAACAGCAGCAGCAGCAGGAGAGAGCGGGCCAGGGAGCTTCCTGCTGCAGCAGCGACAGTTCAATGCCCTGAGGTCTAGCAGAACATTTAAAGAGCTGCAGCAGCAAGGAGGATCAGCAAAGCGACAGTTGGGAAGCAGCGGCAGCAGCAGCAGCAGCAGCAGCGGCAGCGGCAGCGGCAACAGCAGCAGGAACAGCAGCAGCAGCAGCTTAAAGACTGAATTGACTGGGCCAGGGGCAGTGGCAGATGTAAAGCGCCAGCGCACCAGCAGCAGCAGCAGCAGCAGCAGCAAGGCTGCTCGGGCTAGGAAGCAGCAGCAGCAGCAGCAGCAGCAGCAAAGCCAAGCCTTACTGGATCTGTTGAGTGGGGTCCCTTTGTCTTCAGCTGCTGCTGCCGTCAGCAGCACCAGCGCAGCAGATGAGGCGGAAAGACAACAGCAACGCGAGTGAGGGTTCTTGCTGCTGTTGCTGCTGCTGTTGCTGCTGCTGCCCGCATTGCTGCTGCTGTTGCTGCTGCTGTTGCTACTCTTATTGCTGCTGTTGTTGTGTTATTGTGTAATTGCTGCTGCTACTTGTCACGCGCCATGCATAGGTGCTGCTACTGCTGCTGTTGCTGCTGCTCCTGCTGCAGCTGCTGCTGTAGCTGCTTCTGTGTTGCCGACCTTGCGTGCGTTTCTTGTGTGTTTGTTGCTGCTGCTGCTGTTGCTGTTGCTGTTGCTGCTGCAGGAGGGTCTCCGCGCTGCTTGCAGAAGCAGCAGCAGCAACAGTTGGGGGGTTCATAGAACAGCGACAAAATAATTATTTTAATTTTCTTATTCCTTGTCTGCCCAGACCCGGGGCTGTAGGGCCCCAGGAGAGTTCGTAGTTAAATCAAATGCATGCATGCATTTAAATAAGCAAATGCATGCATTTAAATAATCAAATGTATGCATGCATTTAAATAATTAAATGCATACATTAATATCAAATGCATGCATTTTATTAAAATGCATGCATTTAATTAAATGCATGCATTTAGTTCAAGTGCATGCAATAGACGCCGCATGCATTGAACGCCTGTACAGACACCCCACAACCAACTGATTCGCTACTCTTAAAGAACCTCCTCCCTCTTATCTGGGATCGTCTCCCAAACATATTTTAATACTGGGGATCGTCTCCCAGGCACATTATATTGCCTGGGATCGTCTCCCTAATACTGTTTAGTGCCGGGGATCGTCTCCTAAGCATTTTGTAACGCCTGGGATCGTCTCCCAAATACAGTTGAGTACCTGGGATCGTCTCCCAAACATTGTTTTATGCCTGGGATCGTCTCCCAAACGCACTCGGTTACGTGGGATCGTCTCCGTAGTAACTGGACAGAGTGGGATCGTCTCCCAGGGGCGGCGCAGTTGTTAGTGTGGCAACCCCACACCCTCAGTGCAGCCTGGGATCGATCCTTACGGGTGTTGGGATCGTCTCCTAAAGGATGTTTACCCCCAGGGATCGTCTCCTTGAGGCTCTGGTGCAATAGCGGGGATCGTCTTTTTGCTTGGATCGTCTGGGATCGTCTTGTAAAAGCTGGTTGGGTTGTTTGTTTGCTTTTGTTTGCTTATATCTGTTTGCTAGTGTTTGTTCATTTATGTTTATTTATTAATATTTCCTTATTTGCATTTATTTAGTTCTATTTGCGTGTGTTAGCCGCGTTTTATATGCCTCTGTGTGCAGCGATATTCTTCTGAGAGACTTTTGAGGTGTATAGGCACCTCCAGTTGGTGTGTGGGGTCTGATATTTATGTATTTATTTATTAAAAATCGCAAGATTTTGTTGTTGAAGGCGCCCTCTAAGCCTTCATCCAGACAATAAAATATACTATAAAGCTTGTGTACACTCCTGTGTACATGCATGCATACACCTCAGAGTGCATGCAT